TGCGCGGCCAAGGGGTGGGTGGGCGGAGACGTATTGAAATCAGACGAGGCGCCATGAAATCAGGGGGGATTTCATGGCCCCCACCATGATATCCAACCCCCCCTAGTCATCCCCCCCCTTTTTGCCGCCCCCGACCAGAGCCCCGGACGGTGAAACTGAGGAGAGGCGCTGGGATTGAGCGAATCATTCCGCCCGAGGCCGGGGGGCTCCTCCTCGAAGCCACCACCCCGGGACCTGGCTGAGGGTAGGCCCTGCCGAGCCTCCCGAGGGAAACTATAGGCTGCGGCCGCGAGGGCGGCCCAGCAGGCCCCAGAACGTTCAAACATCTGGATCCTTCGGTAGAGGCATCCCACGGGGGGTCCGAGCGGATAGGGTCGGAGGATCGCGACGCATCGGTGATGCATCGGCGATGCCTCGGCGAGGAATCAGCGATGCATCGGCGACGTCGGGGTGGAGAAGCAGGGGCTCCACATTGAGCCGTATCGTCGATGCCTTGGCGATGCGGCGCCATCCTCCGACCCCAGCTGTGGGCAGGAACTTCTGCTCAGCATGCCGCGGCGGCGGCGGCCCCGGCGACGCGCCAAACCCAGCGAGCGGACAGCGTGTCGCTCCGCCCCGCGGGGCGGGAGGCTTGGAAAAGCTCGGGCCGTTGGCGCCGGGGGGCTGGGAAGTGGACGGCGTGTCGCGCCGCAGCGACGTGGGCCAGAACTGGCGGAGCGACCCGCTGTCCAAAACACCGAGACCACATCTGACCCCACTTATGGAGGCCTAGGTTCGATTCTTCGAGCCTCGATCCTCGAGGTCTGCGATCGAGCGACCTCGATGCACCGCCTCGCCCGCCGCAGGCGGCGCCGCGATTCCTCGTGCGGGAGGCGGCCTGTGAAGACCTCTAGCACCAACGCCCCCGTGGCCCAGACGTCGACCTGGCAGGGGCTTCCCCTGAAGGCGCAAATTTGGCCGAAGGCAAACTTTTCTCCGAATGCATATTGTTTGAAGGCATCTGTGTGTGTGCGTGTGTATATATATATATATATAGATGTGTGTGTGTGTGTGTGTGTGTGTGCGTGCGTGCGTGTGTGTGTGTGTGTGTATGTGTATGTGCGCGCGCGCGCGCGCGCGCGTGTGTGTGTGTGTGTGTGTGTGTGTGTGTGTGTGTGTGTGCGTGCGTGCGTGCGTGCGTGCGTGCGTGCGTGCAAGTGTGTACTTGGGCCAGCCGTGCGCGTCTCGTTGCCCGACTTTCTTCGCCTCGACGTTGCGTGCGGGGCCGCAACGCCAAAACAAGTGTGTGCGTGTGTGCATGTCCCAATTGGCACCTCCATCTGCGGACCGCGCCTGCGGTTCCTCTGCGCCGCCGACTTACATGACTGTGTGCATGCTTACGTATGGAATTACTGTCCCTCTGGCACACCACCTTTGTTTGCACTTTACAGTGCGCGACGTCTTGTACATTGTGCCTTCGACAATGCCCGATCACACTTAGCACTTCCATCTGCTGCCCGCGCTTGAGGACCCTCTGCGCCGCCACTGAAAAGTGTGTGTGTGTGTGCGTGTGCGCGCGTGTTTGCGTGTATGTTGGAAAAACCGACTGCCTTCAACGAGACGTTCGTTTTTGTCCTCAATGGGCTTATCGCCGCAGCCTCCTGCTCATCCCTCTCATCCCCCTCCTCCTCCTGCTCCCTCTTCCTCTTCCTGCTCCCCCTTCTCCTGCTGCTTCTCCTCCTCCTCCTCCTCCTCCTCCTCCTCTTCCTTCTCCTTCACCCTCTTTCCTCCTCCTCCTCCTCCTCCTTCTCTTGCTCCTCCTCCTCCTCCTCCTCCACCCTCTTCGCTTCTTCCTCCTCCTCCTCCTCCTCCTCCTACCTTCTCCTCCTCCTTCCTCCATCGTCCTCCTCGTCTTCTTCCTCGTCCTCGTCCTCCCTCCCTCCCTCCCTCCCTCCTCCTCCCTCTCCTGCTGCGACGACTCGTGAAGAGAGAGCGCGGCACGAATCTGGGTGCGCAGCTTCGGGCCGCGTTCGCGCGCCAGGGCCTCGGATGGAGTCCTCATCCTCATCCTGCTCACCTCATCCTCGCCCTGCTCATCCTCCTCTTCCTGCGCACCTCATCCTCATCCTGCTCATTGTCTCCATCCTGCTCTCTCTCTCTCTCTCTCTCTCTCTCTCCCTCTCTCTCCCTCGCCTCCGCTCCGCAGCGTTCCCAGGGCGCCCGCGCCGTGCTCGGCCCGCACGCGAACGCGCGTGCCGCGGAGCCCGCAGCGGCCAACCCTTCTCAAATGGGGGGGAGGGGGACCACACACCCTCTCCTCGTCCTGCTCCTCCTCCTCCTCCTCCTCCTCCTCCTCCTCCTCCCTCCTTCTTCGCGTCGCACTCTGCCTGGGTTCGCCTTCCTCCTCCTCCTCCTCCTCCTCCTCCTCCTCCTCCTCCTCCTTCCTGCTCCTCCTCCTCCTCCTCCTCCCTCCTTGCTTGGGTTCGCCTTCTGGGCCTCGGGCCCTCGCTCAGGATTTCTTGGATGGAGGATCTCGGCGCCCCGAGCGCGGGGTGGGCGCGCGGCCACGAGATCTTCCCGTTTCCCCCCTGCTTCGTCGGCTGCTGCTCCGCTGCTGCTGCTGCTGCTCCCCTCCTTCCCCCAACGGGGGAGGAGGCATCTGCTGGGAGGCCTGTGTAAGAGCGATGAAGGGCTACCAGGCCCGATTAGGGGACCATTCATGCGGATCGGCCGAGATTGAGCCTGGGATTCAGCCAGATGAAAAGATTAGGTGGGATCGAACGGGATTGGGTCGGATTTGACCAGTTTTCGATCCAGCTCCGATGCGAATTTACCCCCCCCCCCCAGGAATTGCATCTCAAAGCGAGATCCCTGGGGTGCCTCTTTGACGATCTCGGCATCCGTGGGGAACAATTTCGGGGCACAAGGCAATAAAAACCGGCCAGCGACTTGTGAGCGATGCTTCCGTGTAATTGTTGCTTTGGAGGCGTTTCCCGACATCCCTCCGAGACCGCCCGGGCGCTTCTCGAACGGTTCCAAGAAGCCTCGCTCCAGAAATTTAGGTAAACGCTTCTGTGGCTACAGCTTTCCTCCACGTCAATGCAGCCGCAACATAAGAGGGCTTAATGACCGCTCCCTAAGCTCTCGGTGACCACCAAACGTGGCAACAATCCTCTGGCCAACCAGTCTGCAGAAACGCATTGATGCATTCAACCGTGCTGGATTACCGCGTTTCCAAGACCGACCCCGGACGTGCGGTCGGGCGCTCTGGGGGCGGACGCAGCCGACTTCGGAAGCCCGGAATCCGAACACGCCGCGCTCACTTCAGCTTCCGTCGCCTTTCGATGGCCTTCGGCCGGCTTCCGCCAGCTGACCCGCCGCCACTCTGCTTCCGCGGGCTTCCGCCGAAGGCGAGGTGCGCCGAGGCCGGGGCCCTTTCCGGAGCGCCTCGGTCGAGGGGAACAAAATCGCGGCTCGGACTTCGGAGGGCGCTTTTCTCGCGCGGGCTATGACATCGCCCTGGCTTCTGTAGGAGCAGACCTCTGGATCATGTCGGCCCTCCACAGCGCCGTCTTACCAGGCAAAGGTTTCTATTCGGTGGACGGTGGGAGCTTCTACTGAGAGCCACCTGAAGTCTGTTTGTGCCCATCAGGAGTTTCGTGGAGGTTCCTGGGTATTGGTGGGGGTCTCCTGGACGCTTGTGTGGGGGTGGTGGAGGGGCCCTGGAAGCTCCTCCCCCTCCCCTTCCCCTCCCCCTCCTGCTCCTCATCGTCGCCCTCTCCCCGCCTACTTACTGCTGCTGCTCCCGCTCCTCCTCCTCAGTCCAAGTCCTCCTCTTCCTCCTCCTCCGCCTCCCTCTCTCTCTCTCTCTCTCTCTCTTTTTTTGTTGTTGTTGTTTTTTTTTGTTTTTGTTTTTTTTTTTTCTCTCTCTCTCTCTCTCTTTCTCTCTCTCTCTCTCTCTCTCCCCCCCCTCCTCCCTCCTCCTTCACTTTCCTCACTCCTCTTCTCCTTCTCCTCACTCTCCTCGGCCCTAACAGTGCGTGCAGGTGCGCCACAGCGAACCAGCCCTCTCCTTCTCCCCCTCTTCCTCCTCCTCTTCCTCCTTCTCCTCCTGCTTAATGCCCTAACAGTGCGTGCAGGTGCGTCACAACGAACCTGCCCTCTCTCCAGCCCTCTCCTCCTCCTCCTCCTCCTCCTCCTCCTCCTCCTCCTCCTCCTCCTCCTCCCTCTTCCTGCTGCTGCTGGCCGTCCAGGTGCTGCTCTCTCCTTCCTCTGCCTGCTCCTGGCTCTCCTGCCCAACGAGAGCCTTTGGACAGTGGCGCCGCCGCCCCGCTAGGCCGTCAGCGGCCCAGAAGCTAGGCCGAGGAGCTCCCAGAAAGGCCGTCCTTCTCCTGCTCCTCCTCCTCCTTCTCCTCCTCGTCCCCCTCCCTTTGCTGCTGCTGCTGCTGCTCCTCCTGCTTCTTCTTCTCGTTCTCCTCCATCTCCCTTCGCCTGCCCCTTTTTCGCCTCGCCTTCCTCTTCCTCCTCCTCCTCCTCCTTCTCTTGCTCCGCCTCCGCCTGGCCCCACTCCTCATTGTTCCTCCTTTCCTTTCCTTTCCTTTCCTGAACTGAACTGAAGCATAAGTCCGCCGTGCTAGCACAGCTAACGCCGAAAGAAGCGAAAACACATGGGGAAGGCGGGGGGGGGGGAAGGAAAGGGGTTCCTCGCCTCTCCACCTCCTGGAGCCTCCTGGGCTCTGCCGGCACGGCCTCCTCGGGGCCGATCGACGACTGCTCATGTAGGCATCGTTGTAAGCGGGGCGCAGGGGGGGAGTGCAGAGGAAGGGGTCCGCAAACTCCATAAAGTCGCTCCTGCTGCTTCTTTTCCTCCTGCTTCTCCTCATCCTCCTCCACCTCTTCCCTCTCGTCCTTCTCCTCCGTCTCATTCCCGTGACCAAAAAGCTACCGCTTTGTTAAACTTGAGAGCCTGCAACGGGCAACGATACATCAGTTTCTGCGGCGGGGCGCGCCAACTGGGCTCTTCACCGCTGGCTGCGCTCGAGCGCTTTCCACTCCGACTCCAGCGCCTCGAAGTCGCGGGCCTCGTCGTCCATTCGAAGCTGCAGCGCCTTGTCCTCGTCGTCCTTCCACATCTGCAAGGTGGAATTCACCGATGGATCGCTGTGAATGTACCGCGCCCTGCTCCACAACGGCAGGTAATACTCCGTGAGGTACATGTTGACGTAACAATCGATGCCCCGCTGGGAGAGGTACGTGTCCGCTAGATTCCGGCCTTCTCCGGCGACGATCTCGGCGCGCTTGCCGGCTGGGAGGCCGTCCTGAGGCCGCAATGCCTCCTCGATCACGTCCCACAAGTCGCTCAAGTCCTCCTTTATGAAGAAAATGTTCTTCCCATGGCGCAGGGCTTCGTACCAAAACTCCTCTTTCAAATACGCCTTGCGTCCGATCATGAACACCGTCTGGTTGCACGCGAGCTTGTACTTGAGATTGGCGGAATAGTGCTTCCCGGCAACGTGGAAGGTGTATTTGTACTTGCACTGGTCGTAGATGCTCAAGAAATTCTCTTTCTTGGACCCGTTGGTTTGCATCATGGAAACGTCGAAGCCATCTGGGGCCACCTCGGCCAGCAGATCCCTGAGCCTCTCTGGCGGCGGCGCGTTGGCCACCTCCCCGAGCCTTTTGCGCGCCGCGTTGCTCATGGAACCTCGATAGACGAATCCACGCTTGGTCTTCTTGATCTTGTGGAGCCGCTCCTTGGCAAGGCTTCGAATTGCGCGCAGAAAGCCCCCCCCCCCCCCCCCAGGTAGTCTCGGCTGGCCTCAATAGGCTCCCCGAGGAGTCCCGGCTGACCTCAACAGGCCCCCCGAGTAGTCTGGGGCGGTCTCAACACCCCAACCCTGGGGCGGGGAGCGCCCCAAGGCGCCGCCAGATGCGGCGCCGGGACTACTCGGGGGGCCTGTTGAGGCCAGCCGAGACTACCTGGGGGAGCTGTCTGTGCGAAACCCGACGCCGTGCCACCGCTCCTGCACGTCCTCCCAGCCGTTGGAGTCCCAATCGGGGTTGACCTCACGCGACCGAATGTCGCTGTACTCCGTAAAGGTGAAGTCGGGCATCGCGACGTCGGTGTGGGACCAGTCCGAGGACCAGCCGTGCAGAGGTAGCCCCTCGCGCCGCCTCGTCTCCGGGCAGTCTCCGTTCATGAACCGCCAGTACAGCGTCACGGTCCCGCCTGCGGCCAGCAGCTCCTCGTTCAGCAGCTCCTCTCGAGGCCTCGCACATATGGTCCGAATAGATGGGGTCGGAGGGCCGCGCCGCATCACCACCAATGCATCGGCGATGCATCGGCAACGTCGGTGATGCATCGGCGACGTCGGCGTGGATCGGGCTCCACATCGAGCCGCATCGCCGATGCATCGGCGGCGCGGCGCGATCCTCCGACCACTATCTGCTCTGACCTCATCTGGGAGGCCCAGCTCCTCGTGGCGGTCCACCACCCCCTGCATCAGCTTGAGGAGCCCCTCCAACTTGAGCCTCTCTCCGCGGGGCTTCTGCGTGACCTCCATCGTGACCCCGTCCCCGGACGCCGTGAACGTGAGGCCCAGGCGACCCAGGCCGTCGGGCGCGTACGGACTCTCCCCGAGGCCGGGCTCCATGTCGAGATCCTCGGCCGTCGCCGTGCGGTTCCCGAAGGCCCTGGCCAGGTAGCCGACGTACGTTGCGTGATCATCGACCCCCCAACCAGAAAACATGGATGCCCATGTGGGACAGAACATCGACAACTCTCCGCCGCTGCATTGGTGATGGCGAGCAGCGTCCAAATCGCAGAGCGGGGGAGGGAGGCTGGCAAGGGGCATGCCGCTCCTTGACAAACAACTTGCCCCCTTGTGGTCGCCGCGATCGCCGCGGCGACCTCCCAAACCGACCCGGACGTCTGGTTCGGGCTCGGGCATCACGCAACGAGATGTACTCCGGGTAGTCCCGCTCGCACGCACCCATCTGCTCCCTCCGCAGCCGGCCCGCCTCCCGGGAGCCCGCCCTGATCGGCCACGCGCAAGGGTGGCTGAAGGGGCCCGGAGACACACAGATAAACGGACACCGATCCCAATATGCTCCAATTTTTTTTCCGTATTTTCTGGAGTTCCGACTTCGCTTTGGTCGGGCATGTCCTCCTACAGTCAGATTTTGGGCGACAGACAAATTATCCCAGTGCGACCCTACCCAGGAGTTGGAGCCTCTAGGAAAGCAACATTAGTAGGAGCGGTAAACGCCGTCCTCCTCCTTCTCCTCATCGTCGTAGTGGATGCTGTGCTGCGCTACGCTCTGCTCTGCTCTGCTCTGCTATGCTGCGCAATGCTATGCTAAGCTATGCTATGCTATGCTATGTTATGCTGTGCTGCGCTTTGCTTTGTCTTGCTTTGCTGTGCACCCAGCGACAGCAGGCTGTTCAGCACTGCTCGCGGCTCCTGCAAGTGCTGCAGGCTGTTCAGCACTGCTTGCAGTAGGTTCAACACTGCTCGCGGCTCCTGCAAGAGCTGCAGGCTGTTCAGCACTGCTTGCGGGGGCTCCGGTCCGGCCGTCGAGGCTAGCTCGGCACCTGTCGCACATTGCTTTTGCTGTGCCTTTCCTTTGCTTTGCTTTTGCTTTTGCTTTGCTTTGCTTGTGCTTTGCTTTGCTGTTGCTGCTGTTGCTGTGCCTTTGCTTTGATGCTATGCTATGCTATGCTATGCTATGCTGCGCTATGCTATGCTATGCTATGATATGCTATGCTGCGCTATGCTATACTATGCTATGCTGCGCTATGCTATGCTATGCTAGGCAATGTTATACTATGCTGTGGCATGCTGTGCTATGCTATGCTGCGCTATGCTATGCTGCGCTATGCTATGCTATGCTATGCTAATGCTGCGCTAAGCTAAGCTGAGCTAAGCTAAGCTAAGCTAGGCTAAACTAAGCTAAACTAGGCTAGGCTAGGCTAAGCTAGGCTAAACTAAGCTAAGCTAGGCTAAGCTAAGATGAGATACGCAATGCTAAGGTAAAGGGACGTAGCTGGGGGAACCGCGGGGCGGATCCTGGGGGAACCGCCCGGGGCGAGGAATACTGCCCGGCCCTTCAAGCACACAGAGTAAGAACCCTTCTAGGCAGAGCCTAGGGAGGGACAAATAGTCAAAACATGTTCCAACATGGTGAACAATCATAGAAACATCGTCCCCAGACTATCGTTGGACTCTTTTGGAATGTTCCTCCTAGAGAGGGAGACATGCCCGACTTGAGTCTTCCCCCCCCGCTTCCCATATCTTCCCGCCTTCTCCTGGGAATCGGCGATTCTTTGTGCCTCGGTGCTTTTTCCCCCTCCAGGGCTATGATGCTCCAACCTACTTTAGCCTTGACCGCCAGGAAGAATTTCGAGCGCACCCCGGGCCCTGGGAGACAACCTTTCGATACTTTTCTGGGAGCTCGAAACTATTTCGGGGATGCGGTCCTCAAGTGCGATGGGAGCAAACATAACTCCAGGGTGGCAGCCGCGTGCGCCCGTGGCGCCCGAGGGAGGCGCGGGCTCGACGACCGCTGCGTGCGGTGCGGCAGCGGCGGCCTGGCCCCCGCGCGTGGGCTTAAGTCGGGCGTGTCCCTCCACGGGAGGAGTGTCCAGAAAGAGTTTTTAAACCATAGCGGGGCGATTTTCTGGTATTTCTAAAACTTTTGAAAGTGGGACGATGATTTTTTGATGAATTTTGGAAGGGACGATTTTTCTTCATATTTTGATGAATTTTGGGACATGGGAAGTGGGGGGCGGCGACGAAAAAAAAAGGGACGATTTTATCTGTATTTGGAAGAATTTTGGGTATCTTTTTACTATGTTTAATTTTCGCCCAAAAGGCCGCCTGCAGGGGGACATGCCCCCGCGCGTGGGCCCCGAGCCCCACGCGCCGCCCCCGCAGGGCGCGCGCCGAGTGCCACCGCGAAGGGGCCCCCGGCCGTAGATCGGGCAGGTCCTCCTACAGGCGGACTCTGGGCGAGCAAAAAGATCAAGTAGCCGACACAACTCTCGAACCATACTCAGCAATAGTCGCCACATCGTCCCCATACAAATTCTTTTGGTTCTTTTTGCACCGTAGATCGGGCAGGTCCTCCTACAGGCGGACTTTGGGCGAGCGAAAAGATCAAGTAGCCAACACAACTCTCGAACCATACTCAGAAATAGTCGCCACATCGTCCCCATACAAATTCTTTTGGCTCTTTTTGCAAATTCCTCCTGCAGAGGGACAGGCCCGACGGAAGTCCAGCCCCGGGGGGCGCAGCTCGGGCCTCCAGCAGCCGCTCGGGGCGATCCGCGCGCCCCTGGGGCGCCCTCGGCGAGGCGCGGCTGCTGGAACGCACCACGAGGAGGAGGAGGAGGAGGAGGAGGAGGAGGAGGAGGAGGAGGAGGAGGAGGAGGAGGAGGAGGAGGAGGAGGAGCGAACGTCGCTCCAGAGGAAGAGTCGCCTACCTACCCGTGCGAGCACGTGCAATATCAAGGCAACGAAGTAAGTGCTGTGGCCCAGAACCAGGGTGCGCAGATATGATAGCGTGCAGCTGATGCGTCAGGCTAAGCCTCAAGACCGACCGATCGAGCGAGTCATCGGGGGTCGAGGCGTGGTCCCGAGAGGACCCAAGACAAAGCTTCATTAATACAGAGTTGGAACAAAATTCCCGAGGAAAACAGGCGGCCCACCACAGGTGCCGACACCTCAAATAGTGGGACATATTGTCAGATCCATTCTCACAACCGAATTTACAAGGGGCCGAACGGACATTCGTGACATGCATTCTGGCCGCTCTGGGCCATGCTCCGCACATTACTTTGATCACCGCCCACCTCACCCCCCTCCCTTTATTACGAAGGACGCTCTTAAGCGCCTCCCATCTCTGCGCCAACACACGTGTGGCGGGCGCTCGCACCTGCCACGCAGCCAACCTTTTCCTGAATGTGACAGGAAAGGAATCAAGATAGAGGAGAGATGAAAGGATGGAGCGGTAGGTGGACTGGAAGGAAAAACGCTTTTTCTTCCTCTCACGATGGGGCTGCGCCAGCCACGCAGCCTCCACTGCCAGCGAGCGCCTCTTCGCGGCGCGCAGGCAGGCCTCCGTCCGACGTCGGTTCCTGGGTCTGCAGGTCGGCGCGCAGCATCCCAGGGCGTCCCAGAGGTGACGCGCAGGCCCACGGCGGTCCTGCCACCACACCGGCGTGAAGAGGTCAGTCGGCAGGTCCGCAAGCCTGCACAGCGCCTCGCCCCGCACGTCTGTGAAGAAGTCCTCGACGCCCTCGAGGAGGGCGAGCCACTCCGTCGGCAGCTTGATCGCCGCCCTCATCCTCGCAGCCATCGCCGAGGCGAAGAGGGAGAGCGGCGCCGTGACGTCCAGGGAGGAGCCCAGCGCCAGGAGGCAGTCCTTCCTGAACGACTTCGGTGGCACGCGCAGCAGCACGTGTAGCAAGTCCAGCTCCTTGTCCACGAGCCCGTCGGGGATCGGGAAGAGCATGGCGACATAGAGCAGGCGCGGGATCGCTAGCCCGTTGTACGCCTGGACCACTGCATCGTTGGAAAGGGCACTGGCACCCAGCGCCCTCGTCCTCGCCGCATACTTGGCCGCAGGGTCGTGCCACTGTCTTGCGAGGTCAGCGCCAGGCCCCAGCCAGCAGCCCAAGTACTTCGTCATGGAGGCGACCGAGAAGTCTGACCAGCCCGCGATGCTCGCCTCGAGCCTGCTCTTCACGTAGACCACGATCTCCTCCGTAATCGGCGCCCACAACGGCACCAGGAAGCATTTGGACAGATTGAGCTCCAGGCACGCCAGCACCTGCATCGCCATGAAGATCGGGCCGATCCGCGGCAGCAGGGCCAGGTCGCGGAGCACCATCCCCACGTCATCCGCGCAGCCCTCCACGTCGCCCTTGCGTTGCACTATGGGCAGCTCTGGCTTCCAGGGCTCCCGCCGCCACGGCATGTCCAGGACGGAGGCCATGTGCTCTAGGAAGGGCGAGAAGAGCAACGCCCAGAGCGAGCCCGACATCGGACAGCCTTGCGCCACACCTGCCGTGACCGCGAAGGCCTCCATCAAGTCCTCGCCTACCCGCAGCCATGCCACCTGCTTGTCGTACATGGCGCCGATCAGGGTCCTCACGGAGTCGCAGAGGCCGCACTTGTCCAGGACCAGCGCCATCCAGAGACGGCTGACGCTGGGGAACGCCGCCTTCACGTCGAAAGTGATCAGCGCGGGGTGCCCTCCCTTCGTCTCACTGAGCGCACTGAATGTGCGCGCCATCAGGTCCAGCTTGATGATGTTCGGAATGATGAACGTCCTGCCACGGACGAACCCATGCTGGACCGCCGATGCCTCCTTCCTCGCCACTCCAGCTAGTTCATGGTTGACCACGGTCGCGATCATCTTCCTGTCCGTGTTGAGCAGCATGAGCGGCCTTAGCGCACCAGGCCGACGCACCACCTCTGACGCGCTGAACGCCTCCCCACTCTTCGGGATCAGGACCAGCAGCCCGTGGTTGAAGTCGTCTGGGAAGCCCAGCCCCGCAAGCGCCTCCTGGCGCAGCCGGTACAGCCAGGCCACCGCTGCAGGCGACCTCGCCCAGGCGACGTAGGGCAGCCTGTCAGGTCCAGGGGCCACCTCACGTCCACGCTGAGCTGCTCGCAGTAGATCCTCCTCGCTGAATGCAAAGTCCTCGCGTGCGCTGGCGGGCGCGAACCAACGCTCGATGTACTCCCTCGCCGCCTCCTCGTCGATATCTTTCTTCCTGAAGATGGGGCCCCAGTACTCGCGCGCCGCGGCCAGCATAGCGTCGGCGTTCTTCACCGTGACATCAGAAGGCCGCTCGGAGACGCTCCCCGTCACAGGCGGGGCAGGGAGCTCTTCCGTCGCACACACCTTGACGCCGCTCAGCTGCCAAACGGGCAGCTTGCGGAGCCACAGCTGGGCCTTCTTCACTATACTGCCCTGCTTCCGCTTCCAGTACTCGCCCTCCTGAGCCTGCGCCGTCGCAAAGGCGCGGCGGGCACGTCTCGCAGCGTCCTGACGCCGCTCATCCAGCATACGCTCCGTGGTGGCACGCACGACTTCCCCGAAAACCAGGGTGTCGCTCGCCAGCACCTTGCCATCTTGGATGCGCAGGTGCCTCCGAGCCAGAGGAGAGGACTGGATCAGCAGGCGCGCCGTGGTGCCGTCGTTCGTCCAGACCGTCCTGGCCGCCGAGCGCATCACCAGGGCGTTGAGCTCCGCGCCCTGCGAAACGTTCTGCAGGTCGGCGAGCGCAATCATGTGGTTCCTCGTGGCCTTCGCCGCCGAGACCATGGCCCGCTTGGCAGCAGCCCACTCCTCATGAACGTCTCCATCGGCTCCCCGAATGCGAAGCAAGTCCTGTTCGGCAGCGTGCAGATCCTTGAAATACTTTGGATACTGTTGCGACTTGAAAACAAAGGCGGGGATCCTCCTCTCCGCCATCGGCCTTTCCTTGCGGAGACCCAGTGCGAGCCCCACAACTCCGTGATCACTCAACCTGCGCAGCGACAGCGTCGCAGGGTCCGCGTCGACCGTGCGGGTAGCACGGAGACAGGGATACGCGTCCCTCGGCAGGCTGGTGAAGAAGCGGTCCAGCGTGGCGGCGGAGTCCGAGTGCCTGTCATAGTGCGTGGCGTCCTTGCCGTTGATCTCCACGCACTCGTCGAAGAGGTCACGCCAGAAGGATCTGGCCTGGTGGTCGCGCACGGGGGACCTCATCGCCGTCGGCGTCGGCATGCGGTAGTAGCGCCGATCACCCACTGGTAGGTTGAAGTCGCCGCCTGCAACACAGAGCTCCTGCATCGGGGACCTGCGCGCCTCCCTCATCGCCCTCCGCCATGCTGTCGCCACTCTCGATTTGTCCTCAGCGCTGAGGTCGTGGTTGTGCACGTTGATGAGGGTGACCCCGACGCGGCACTCGTCAGCCTCTGCAGGCAGGTGCGTCACCGAGTCGGGCTTCCGCACCACCACACTGACCTTCACCATTAGCACTCGTCCAGGGACCAGCTCCGTAGTCGTCGAGACTGGGTGCCACGATGGATGCAGCTCCTTCCATTCATGCAGCTCTGAAGATGGGATCAACGTGGCCACGCCTCCACCACGCCCATCGCGGAGAGCAGAGAAGTGGGTCTTGTAGGCGAAGGGCTGCGAGCGCACAAACGCCTCCAATATGACCGCCGCACCGTGCGTCTCCTGCACCAAAATCACATACTTCTTCGCCATATATGACCGCAAGATTGCTAACTTGCGTCGTCTACGCAGTGGATCCCGTAGAAGCAGACCGCGTGCATTCCACGAGATGACCTTCAATGGACTGTTGAACACTTCATCATATTGGTATTGCCACGGGCGCCAACGCGCCGAGCAAGTGTTAGGGGCACCACTGTACCTCTCTGGACCCGCCGCCGACCATGCGATTGAACACCTCCTGCACTTTGCTCTTGTCGATGCCCAATTTTGCCACCATCGGATTGTTCCAGCGCAGCTCCGTCGGGGCATCCTCCTCCGTGACCAGAACGCTGGCCACCTCAACGTTGTCAAACTTGACCTCCCCCTTCGCTTTGTTTGGCCACCAGCGCCCAGCACCTCCACGCACTTCCTCCAGAGCCTGGCCGAGGCGTTTGGTGTGCAACTCCACCCGCAGGGAGCGCTTGGACTTGTCCATGTTGATGTACATCCTGCGGCCGCCGGCCGTGAAGCTCCTCCATCCGCTCGGCGTGCGGAGATGTGTGGCCAGCCTCTTGGCGCGCTCGTAGCCCACCACGCCACCCGTGAGCTCCAGCACGTAGTGTTTCCCAGACGGGAGGGAGTGGAGCGCGTACTGACCACTCGACACCATGGCAGCCTTGAGCCAGTCCTCAAGACCGACGATGATCTCCGCGCTCGTGACGCCCGACTCGACCTGGATCTGGAAGAGGTTCGGAGCCGCGGGCCTGTCCCACATCTCCTGCCTCGCTGCCTGAAACAGTGGTACCTGAGCCTCCGCGCGCTCCAGGGCCTCCGTGATGCTCTGGACAGCGCCGCGCAGCTCCTCATTGGACGCCTCGAGCCTGTGCTGACGTTCCCGCAAGCGGGCGACGTCGGCGTCGACCACTGCGAAGCGAGCCGAGCACTCCTGGGCATGGGTGGCGACGACCGTGGCCATCTGCGCCTGGGCCGCCGACGTCGTCGCGTTGAGGTTGGCCGTCGCCTCGACCAGGATCCGCTCCAGCTCTTGCGCCACGCTGGCGGGCAGCCCTGCGGTGGAAGCCAGTGCAGGAATTCCTCCCCCCACAGGCGCGGGCGCAGCAGGGGCAGCCGCATCTGCTCCAGGTGGGCGAACCCCCTCCGTGCTGCTCCTGCCTCCGCGACCACTCCCTTGACGCCAGGGGTCCCGTTCATGTAGATGATCCCGCCCTCGCTCGCGTTCTCTATTTTGTCTACGACGGCGGCGCCGAGCTCCTTCTCCACTACGAGATGCAGACCGCTCGGCGTCCGATGCATCGCTCCGACTCGACGATCTGTCACTGCCACCAGTCCGCCCAGTAGCGCCAGCAGCACCGCCGTCGCCAGCCTGCATGCCGTCCCGCGCAGGGCCCATGGCCACGAATCTGGATGCGCTCGGGCCGGCAGGAACGGGAAAGGCCTCCGTTTACCCGCCGACCCGAGCGCAGGAGAGGTGGGCCGAAGAAGATGCCAGACCTCAAGAAGTCTTGCCAGCCGCGGACTAGCGGTATCCGCTTGTTCCCCTGCGGAACTCATCATCTTGAGCCAAAATGGCTACGGAGGAGGAGGAGGAGGAGGAGGAGGAGGAGGGGGAGGGGGAGGAGAAGGAGGATGAGGATGAGGATGAGGATGAGGATGAGGATGATGAGGAGACGAGGGCGGCGCTGCGCTCCTCAGGAGCCAGGGAAAACGCCTCGAAGAGTGGAGCCGACGGGCCACCCCTGAGGTCCGAGGGTGCGAACACAGTGCGGCATCGCGGGAAGGCCCTGCCGAAGCCCTGGACCCCAGCGTTCTGCGGCACTTTTCGGGCCGGATCGAAACTCTAGATCCGATGTCTTGATTTTTGCAACGCGGGGTCTCCAGAAGTCTCGACCCCCTCCCGAGGACGGGCTTTTCATCCTGACTCGTTTCTTTATGGCCCCGGGGCCTGGCAAGGCCCTCCAGAGGCGGCAGCGACGCACCTCCGTCTGGATCTTGTCAACACGTTGGATCCCTGGGATCTGTGATGGCCCCTTGCCCCGAAAATGGTCGAAACCACCCAGTGTGAAAGCACTACGGCGCCCAGACGTCAGGGCACTCTTGCGCGCAACCTGCCTGAGGCGACTCTGGCCACGCTGCGCTGGCGCCAGCTGCGACCTCGGAGCCTGAGAGGCAAGCTTTTCTTTTGTTTTTCGCATGTTTTTTGTTTTGTTATTGTTTTTGTTTCTTGTTCTCTTTGTGCTTCACATTTTGGAGCCTGAGAGGCAACGATCGGCTGAGGAGGGGAAACAGGGACCTGGAATCGGAATCGGCGATGCATCGCCGACAGATCGGCGATAGGCCCCGATGGCAAGTCCGCATGTTCCTGGGCGGGCCGGGCCATCGGGCCCCGCTCGGCGATGAATGGGCGATTCGGGGTCGATGCATCTCCTCTGAACCTATCCATCAATGATCCTCGTCGTCCGGTTTTCGGGTAGAAACTCTGGTCGCCTGCTGCCGTTCGGGGCGGTCCAGGCACCCCTGGATCGCTCTCGACGAGGCGCAGCTGATGGAAACCACCCCGGCCCGGGCACCCAGAACCTCCGAGGCCTGCCGGAAACTTCAGAAAGTGCCCGAAAACTTAGAAACTTGGCGCTGCCCACTAACTTCGGGGGCGTCCAAGTGGAGGGGGCGTCCAACAGAGGGGTTCGCAAAGCATGGCCGGAGGCGTGCGCGCGGCCCAGGGGGGGCCAGGGGACGCATGAACATGAGAAGAGGCGCCACGAGATCTTGGAGATATCATGGCCCTGGCCACCACACCCACCCCCCTAGTTATCACCCCCCTCTTGGCCCGCCCCACCCCCGAACTAGGGGCCTCCCACATGGGGTCCGAGCAGATGGGGTCGAAGGATCGCGCCGCGTCGGCGATGCATCGGCGATGCATGGGCGATGCATCCCCAAATATGCGACGTCCTGATTTTTTCAATGCGGGGCCCCTGGAAGTCCCGACCCTTTCTCCGGGACCGGTTTTTCATCCTGAGTCGTTTTCTGACAGTCCCGAGGCCCGGCGAGGCTCCCCAGGGGCCGAAAACGGCCAACAACCTCCCGCGTCTTGATTTTTTAACGACGCGATCATCTCTGGGTCGGCGACGTCGCCCAACGTTGCCCCCGAGAGCCGGCGCAGGCGCGGCCTGCCGCCCCGGCGCCGGCGCGCGCGGCGGCCTGCGCCCGGGCCAGTGCGGCCAGCCGAGCGCCGCGGCCGTGCAGGGCGAGGCGGCGCCGAACAGGGCGGCGAGCAGCGCCGCGCCCGCGCGGCCAGGCGGGGCCATCTCGCGGTTGCGTGATGCTTGGCCCCGGACCAATCGAGTAGGGCATCGACCCCAAAGATGATCGTGTCGTGAAAAAATCAAGACGCGGGAGGTTATTGGCCGTTTTCGGCTCCTGGGGGCCGTCGCCGAGCCTCGGGACCGTCAGAAAACGACTCAGGTTAAAAACCGGTCCTGGGGAATGGGTCGAGACTTTTGGGGACCGGGTATTGAAAAAATCACGACATCGGATCTCTGGGTTGGCCCTGGAACAATCGAGTAGGATATCGACTACAGAATTGATTTTCGGGGGCGCGCAAGCATGGATTAGCGATATCCATGGATTGGGTGCGCGGTCGCCGAATCCATGTATCGGGGGAGGTGCCCTCCCCAAAGTGCGGCCGGTGCCGCCTCGTTCGGCGGCGGAAATCCGCGATTCCCCATGGAAACGGGACCCGTCGCTAATCCACGCCCCCTTGATCCATGTTTGCGAGTGCCTGAGATTTACCCCAGATTGATTGTTTCGTCAAGGCGTACATCGTAGAAGGTTCGTAGATCTCCGAGCACTCTACGCGTGTCTCATGGACTCGACGAGTATTCTACGCATGTCTCATGGTTTCGACGAGACTTGGGCAATTTCGGAAGCCCTGGGCTCAAACATGTTGTCATTTTTGGGTATATATATCTGTGTTATTCTCATTTATTTTTAAATGTATGCTTACTTTGTTTTCGTGTGTTTATGTATCTATTTATCTATTTATTTTGTTTGTTGAGTTATTTTTTATTATTCAACACCTTGTGTCGCCCTTCCGCTGGCTTCCGCCAGTGGCGGCGGCCTCGTCTTGCTTCCGCCGACCCTCCGCCGCCCTTCCGCGGCGGAAGGGATGACAGCTCCTTCGACCCTCGAAGGCAAGGCCACGTTTGGAACGCCTCCTCCTCCTCCTCCTCTTCCTCCTCCTCCTCCTCCTCCCTCTCTCTGGGGGGGAGGCAGGTGCCCAGGAGGTGGTGGTGGCGACTACTCTTGGGGCCCCGAACCAGCAAAGACAAGACTGTCCACGTGGGACATCGATTGGCAACTCTCTGTCGCTCTGCTGTCGATGATGGGCCGCGTCTGCGTCGCGGAGCGGTGTGTGTGTGTGGCTGGGAAGCGGCACGCCGCTCCTTGACGAAAACTTGTCCCGATTTGTGGCCGCCGCGATCGCCGCGGAGACCTCCAAAGCCGACCCGGAGGTTTGGTTCGGGGCTGGACATCACGCAACGAAGGTGGGCGCCAGCGGCGGGCAAGCATACCGGCGGCGCGCACGACCCTGAACTCTGGGCGCTCCAATTTTTTCGCGCCAGCAGCTTTCGCCCAGCTTCGGGCCAGGGGACCATGACTGGTCGACCCGGCTTGAAGAATGCAACGGACAAAAAAGGTCTTGGGCTCCAGTCGTGACTTTTGGCGATGTTGCAACTTTAGATGTCTCCTAGATGGGGTCGGAGTAGATGGGGTCGATGGATCGGCGACGCCAGCGAGGAGAAAATAGGGCTCCACATCGAGCCGCATCTCCGATACATCGGCGATGCGGCGCGATCCTCCGACCCTTTCTAACTACACTGAACCCATCTAGGAGGCCTAGAAACTTTCTCGCAGCATCGGATCCCAGGGCAAGGGGGTGGCGTGAGGGGGGCGGCCTTCTGAGGAGATGGGCGGGGGCTTCTTTCCTGACGCCCTCACGTTGTGACATAGACCGCGGGGGAAAGCTTCGGGTCGTCTACAGTCTCTGTCGGGGATCTTCTGATCCGGGTCAACCCAGGCCCGGGTCAGTCGAGCCTTGCAAGATCCTGCTTCGTTTCCCTCCTGCAGGACCCTGCACCCAAGCCCGGGTCAATGCGACCCTGGCACTGCAGGATCCCGCAAGATCCCTGGCGCTGTGGCCGACCCCCGCCTTGCGTCGACCCCCGTCCCTTGGGTCCCGACTCTGGGGGCCCTGGCCGTGCCCAGGGGCCGGCAACAGACGACTCCAGATTTAGGTCGGGCACGTCCCCCTACAGGCGGACTTCGGGCGAAAAATTAAAGATACGAGAAAATAATCCAAACATATTCGAGAATATCAAGAATCGTCCACAGACTTTCTTTTGGGTATTACTATTTTTGAATATCCTTCCTGTAGGAGGACATGCCCGATTTAACTCTAGATGAAGAGCCGGTCCCCGGGGAAGGGGTTCATACCTCTGGAGAGCCACGCTGTGACAAGACCACGGCGTCGGATGTCTGGGTTCGAAGGCAGGGGCCTTCTGAGAAGCGCCAGGAGGCTCCTGGGAAGGCTTCGCTGAGAGTCGACGCTGCGAATAAAATTCAACACCGCGGACAATCACGACCAGAACTCTAGACCCCATCTTCCTGCGGCATTTTTAGAGCCGGATCGATCTACAGTGGAGGCCAGTCCGCAAGAAACCTTCCACAAGAAACCCAACCCTGAGACCTCAGGACGTCCATCGATTTTTGGTGCGGGAACGTCACGATTTCCATCGCAAAACCATCGAAACCCAAGAAGCCCAGGGCACCCTGGAGGCGACCAGGGTGTGTCTTGGCATGGGTCTCCGCTGTATGGTGGTCCTGGGGCCCGAAACCTTGCGAAAACGCCTGGAGTGAACGGAATGGCAGCGCCCAGATCTCAGGGCTGTCAGGAGCCAGAGTTAGGTCGGGCATGTCCTCCTACAGGCGGATTTTGGACGAACGATAAAATAGTCAAACAATAAACAAAAAGAATCAAACATCCTCCCTCCACATATTTTCTGACTATTTTTGAATTTTCCTCCTGTAGAGGGACAGGCCCGATTAAAAGCCAGGGGGACTTCGCAGAGGCCGTGCCACCTCCTCATTTTGCCATCGCTCGGACATCCATTCCCGTGCACTTGTTGGTTTCGTGCGTTTTGGTTGTGGCTGCTGCTGCTGCTGTTGTTGTTGCTGCTGCTGTTGCTGTTGCTGTTGCTGTTGCTGTTGTTGTTGTTGTTGTTGTTGTTGTTGTTGTTGTTGTTGTTGTTCTCCTTCTCTCCAGAAGACGATGCAAGCTGCTCCACAATGGTCCTCCCCGAGAACACACGCACACGTCCGAGCGATGCCAAGTTAGGCCCCTCCCACCGCCTTCCTTAGAAGCCCCCCTGGAGGAGGAGGAGGAGGAGGAGGAGGAGGAGGAGGAGGAAGAGGAGGAGGAGGAGGAGGAGGAGGAGGAGGAGGAGGAGGAGGAGGAACAGGAGGAGGAGGAGGAGGAGGAGAGGGGGAGGAGCAGACGGCCGAGCGCGGACAGCCCTCGCAGGCGGAGAGGGGGTCCGAGGGCGAGCGCTAGCAACAGCGGGCCCGCATCGGCAGCAGGAGTTTCAACCGAGTGAGAACAGGAGGAGGAAGGACCAAACAAATCAGCAGGGGCTCGATACCTGAGAGGCCGAGCTCGATCAACGCGTAAGTCTGGACCCCCCCCTCCCGCGACTGCGACGGCGGCCCAGACTCACGCCCCCGTCCCAAGTCATCGTGAGAAGTCGCCTCCCACTCTGGTCTGCACCCTGCGCGTGGGTGGCGAGGCCAGGCGAACACGTGCCCGCTGCAACGCACTCTTTTCCTCCGACACCGAGGACGATGACGTCAGCCTCCTCCCCCGCCGTGCGTGTCGCCACCCCCGCCGTGCGTGTCGCCAGGGGCGGCTTCGTCAGACGTTGGGCCAGCATCCCACGTGGCTGAGAGGCCGCCCTGGATCCCCTGAGCGGGGTCCGTGGGGAAACAACCATCCTGGGCACTCCGGGCGCGGTCCAAGGAATCAGAGAGGAGCTTCGCGCAATGGGCTCTCTTCGCAGGGCAGCGGCGCTGCGCGAGAATTCTGCGCTGTTTGACGGACCGAACAATGGTGGCACAAGCTGAGCGATGCCAAGCGTGCCCACACTCACAAAAAACGTGCGACGAGCCCGT